AAGCAGACCAATACACTGATTTTACTTGGGACCTGTTTTGTTCACTACTCTACGGGTAACCCAGAAGAAGGAGTGTGCAATAAGGGCTAAGAGATCTGCTGACAGTGACAAAAACCTATAGAGCAGAAGCAATCAATACAATAGAAAAGGGCAATAAAACTCAAAAGGAAATGGAGAATGGCCAAATAAGTCACTCACATAAAATAAAATCTAAAGAGGAAAAAGAACTACAAAGTGCAGACCATGGAATGAAATGAAGGAAATAGGAAACAATAAACTACTAAAGGATGTGGTATCACTCTCTACAGAACTGTGGAAGAATTAACACTTGGCTCATTGTGTAAAGTTCAATAGGATCATAAAGCTATCGAAGTATCAATTTTCTAGAGGTAACTGCTCATTCTATCAAAGCACTCTCAAAAGTTCAAGCCCTAGTTACCTTAGCTGGTCAAAAATAAGGTATGAAATGGGACTCTTTACTGTGTTTTTAACAGGGATTTAGAGAAGTAAAGAGGATGTCTTTTGAAGTTCATGAAATATAAAATGTGATAAAATTGAAATACCGGGGAGTGGACTCTAAAATATTTTTTGCATTAAGTAATTTTATACTGAGTTCTGAGACAGATTGTGATAAATTGTACAAGTGCCAGTGAGTACAATGATGCCTGCATGAGCTGGCAGGTGTGACACAGAACCCTGCACAGCCTTCTGGAAAGAGCCCCAGGTCAGTCAGATTACCCTGGGGTACCCAGAGTGGCACTGGAGACATATATTTGAGGAACTGAATTGCACTTTCTGACTTCTAAAATCAACCTCTTGACAGGGACAAATATAGAAAGTGGTCTGGGCTGGAGGTCCATGGGCAGGTTGTGTGGATAGCAGCACTCAAGACTAAAGAAATCCATGCTGGGGACAGGAAATGGGAAGAGATAATGACTGCAGAGCTGGCAAGGGACAGAAACCAGGATGCCAACACAGAGAAATGCAAGAGCAACTAGTGCTCATTTCACCTATGTCATATATCTTTCAGATGAGTGCATATATGTGCATGGTTGAGTGCAGCAAGGTGTAAACTGAACTTCTAGGCCAGACATTGTAATGGGTCATTGCAACCTGTTTGCCAGCAGAGAATCTGAAAGGGCTGATGCTCAGTGTCATGGCAGCAGCTGTTGGGAAGCTGGGAGGCCGTGTGGAAATACTGTAATGTGCTGAATAGCACTGGTAATGTAGGTACAGGCAATTCTGGACTCTCCTTATTGCTTGGTCCCCTACTTTCTGTGAGGCCAGGGCCTCAGCTCTAAGGTGATCACTGAGCAACTTTCTCCCTACCTGCATTGGATCAAGTACCTAGTCCAGTGGGTAAGACATCATATATATTCCTTTCCTGAACTGGTTTCTGAGACTTCCTGAAAATAGTGGTTAGGAGAGGTTTGCAGTACTTTTGCAAAGATTTCATAGCTCTGCTACTGATTTGAATATTTAGAGACCATCCATTTAGGCTGCTGAATACTAATAGTCCTGAACAGAAATGGAGGCTGGATTTTACTATCTCAGCAGGAAGGCTGCCTTTTACCCACACTGATGAGAGAGTGAGGCTGCTATAAAGCCTTACAGGATAAAAGAATAGGCATCTTCTTTCACGTCCTGTTAATTCAGGAAGATAAAAATGATGATCTCAAAGAACATACATTTCAAAAAATTAATTGCTGTTTTAGTTCTGCAGGCTATAATGCAGTGTGACCTGTAATTATTTTAAAAGAACAATGATGTATTTTCCCTTTAGTGTTGGGTGTGCAATTTTACCAGCTCCCATACTGAGTATTTCAGAAACTGTGAGAGGGACATTCTGTTAAACATCTTCCTCAGTGTGAACATTTCAGCCTGTCATGTCTGGACAGATAGTTAAAACAGAGTAGTGCTCTGAAACCACCAGTCTTTGTAAGGGACACAAAAGTGTAATGGCTCTAAAAGACATTGTTGCTTTAGAAACAAGTCAAATGCTGCACCGATACATAATTATGTCCAAGTGGCCCAAACAACAGCACATCCCCTGCTGTGTTACATCCAACCATTTTAATAGAGTGGCATTTAAAACCTCTTACATGATCTTACCAGGTGCATTTTATCTCCTTCAATCCACTGGGTCCAACCACGACCTTCTTTTTCTCCAATCTGTACACAAAGAAGTTTATCGCCATCCCAAGATACAGTGGTCTAACAAAATAGACATGTTCAGTGTTACCACAGTATTCTCTGATTTTATGATTAGTTTCCATGAAGCAAAACTTATCTCTAATGTAATTAATGATTAATGTATCTCGTAAGAATTGCAGAGTGTTACAATACTTAGGGTAACTACAAAAGAAATGAGCCCAAACAGAAAGATGCTGCCCAACTGCCTGCTAAAAACTGGAAGGATGAGATAAAGTTGTTTAAATGCAAGAAAAAATACCATCAAAATCACTGATGATGAGAGCACACTGCTCCCTCCCTACTGACAAACACAGCAGAGAAGGGCTCTGCAGCCTAACGCTGTGTTTACAAAAGGAGCTGAAAACTTGAGATTCACTTTGGTTCTTCCACCTTAAGAATGATTCCCCAGCTGCACCACCTGAAAAAAACTCCCACTTCCTAGCATTATGGATGAACAAGGCTTTTGAATACTGAGCTGGTTTTTCCTCATGTCTTAATCTGCCTTCCTTCATCGAGCAGAGTGGTTTGGAAGTATCAGCAAACTGCTGACTTTGCCAGCATCCCGCCTTTTAACTGAGGCTGGGGAACTACTTGAGCCAGGACTGGCAAATGAGAGTGAGGGTCAGGTGTTACAGTATTCAACACAGCACTTTTGTGAATATTGGTGCTGTCCTGAGTAGTTCAGTAAAACTTGATTCACAGAACTATTTAAATGCACGATGGTGCATCCTCCAGCTTGTTACTCTGGTTAGTGTTGCTTGACAATTTGCCTTTCACATCTCCCTAAGATAAAGAGGAGCAATACTCTGTAAAATATTTAAAGAGGGAAGAGCAGTGACAATTTGTGTTCCATGAGGATAATTTAACATCAATATTAGCACATGGCTTTTAAATCAGCTTGTTTGAAGTGGCTCTGAGGACTAAATATGAAATTACTGTCTATCTTGTAAAAGCCTTCAGCCACTGCCCGCACGAGTAGCCAAATCGGGAGAGATGATGAATTCTGATCTGTCATTAAGGGAAACTTCTTGCATCCATCCTGTGTAGTTTCTAAGAGAAGTCAGCCTCCATTTTTCATTCCGGGAATTAATGCCAGTTCAACACTCAGGAACTACGTGGTCCTATTTATTTAATCTGTGCATGTCACAAACAATTAATTCTTAAATGATATCCATGATAGCCACTATCTCTGCAAGAGTACAGCCAGCTTCCTACTGCGGGAAGCTTTAGACTAAACAAGCATGGAAAATGAATCAGTAGAAGGAGTGCCAGAATAGATAATCACAGGCAAGGCATTGGTATTGATCACATATAGTCTCTTTGCACCACAGGGGGTCTCTGAAAGACAAACTCACGTGTCCCTGCTAAAAATCTCTTCAGTTTGGAAAGCACATTTGCAAATTCTTCTGTTTGCTTTTGGCAAATGATGTATTTAAACCAAGTAGTAGATAACATTTTCGCGTGCAGCGCGGCCCAGCCCCGGTCCCGGCATATTAAAAACAGCATCCTGCAGTCCTCTGAAGAATCCTTAGGGTTCTCCTTCAAGAAGAACAAGGACTGGTTTGATGAAAACAATCAAGAGATCCAGGAATTGTTGAGGAAGAAGAGAACCGCCCACCAAGCACACCTTGCACTGCCATCCTGTCACGAGACAAAAGCAGCCTTTCGTCTCGCATGCAGCAAGATCGGTGTTTACAGAGCCTTTGTGCTGTCTGCTCTTTTATATGGTTCAGAATCATGGGTCATCTACCGCCATCACCTGCGACTCTTAGAATGCTTCCATCAACGCTGTCTCTGTACAATCCTAAACATCCACTGGTCAGATTATGTGACCAATACATCTGTTCTGGAACAAGCAGCAGTCTCAAGTATTGAGGCCATGTTGCTGAGAACACAGCTGCGCTGGGCAGGGCACGTCTCCAGGATGAAGGACCAACCACCACCTCCCTAAGATCCTGCTTTATGGTGAACTTGCCACCGGCTGCTGCAAGAGAGGAGCCCCAAAGAGAAGATACAAGGACTCCCTGAAACAACATCTCAGCCTTGGCCACATTGATCAACAGAACTGGTCTATTCTGGCCTCCAATCGGGAGGTCTGGAGACACAGCATCTATAACACTGCTGATGCCTTTGAGAAAGCACACAGGATCACCTTGAGGAGAAAAGACAACGCAGAAAGAATCGCGTCTTGCAAAATTTACCACCTAAGGAGTCTCTCTGCTGTGCCTTTTGCAACCAGACGTGCCTGTCTCGTATTGGCCTTTTAAGCCACCAGCGTGCTTGTAACAATCATGGGTGGAGCCCTCCCCAAATCTTCGTTCACGAAGTCCAGCCATGATGACGAGATAACATTTTAATGAAACCATATCCCCTTAATGTAAGAAATGCTAATGCAGGAAGGAACAACCCTGGGTAAAACAGTAGTTTATGTGCTCACCCACAATATAAATTCTCTCCTCTGTTTGACTCCTATTATTTGTTATCTCTGTCTCTAAGTGGATGTCTACAGATTCAAAGTCAAAAATGTTTATAAGCTAACATATCTAAGAATTTCTGATTCTGAAAATGAATATAACAGAAAATAAATGATAACCAGTACATGTGAGGGCTACCGAGGAATGAAGCATTTGTACTAAGAAACCTTGCTTAGTAACTGCACTTGTATCTGTTGAGTATTAGCTCAGCATAGTTTAATCATTAGACTACCTTAATAGTTTTTGTGGGTTTATATGGGAATTCAAAGGCAATACACCATGACAAAGTAAGACCCAACTTTATTAATCCAACTACTAATGTTCAAAGTCAGTTGTGAAAGTTATTAGGCCTGATAAAATTCCCCAGCTTAGTACATTTGGGGGCAATTCACAAATATTTGTAGCTGTTCAAGGAAATGTTAACTTTTTAGCCTCCAAGGGTGACTGAAATAGTTTCATCTCAGAAAACAACACAATTTTTTCTCTGGCTTTCTTGTTTTTCCAGTCAAGATTAGATATTGCTTTTTGCAATCTGGCGATAACCACAAAGAGTATAATACCACAGACCGTTAACCAAGCTGCTTTATCAGGCAATATTCTCAGTTATCATCCTCTGCCTTCCCTTTGAGAAATATAAATGCTGAGGGGATATGAGTAAACCACACAGTTTCTGATTTTTGTATGTAGCTATTTTGTTCTGAAGGTTATAAAGGACAGAATATTGCAGGAGAACATAACGTCCTTTTCGTTATTAGCAGAACAACCCCTCTATGACAGTGAGATTAATCAGCAGCACCTGTATCTTGTCTTTCTTTAGGTCACACTGTAATGTCTCAATGTCTCTTTTATTAAAGGCACACTAATACAGAAGATAGAAAATTCTCTTTCAGCTCAGACTGAAACAAGTTCTTCCTCTCCAAACATCTCTATTGAGACACACAGTGAGTGGCAGCTGAGGTCAGAGGTGCTGTGGCTGCTACATTTGCACCCTCCACCAACATCTAAGACAGAGCAATGCTTGCCTTACAACATTCCCAAACATTTGAGTCAGAACATAAAAATAACACTCCAAAAATACCACTGTAGGGCAAATGTTGGTATACATCATCTCTTTTGTTGTATATAAGAGCAAAGATTTTATTTTTGAAGACTGGATCCAGATTTCACCACAGCATAATCAGGAGCCAAGCACTGGAACACACTAAGGCAGCTCTGCCTGAGCCTTCAGTTGCTGTTGTTTTCCCCTCCTGGCACACACTATCAGGAGAAAGAAACACTCTACCTTTTATGCCAAGCTACTTTTCTTAGAAAAGTAGGCCTTTATAATTAACCTTGTTTGCCCCCGTTTTGATAATAGTGTTACCTAAGGTTTGCCTGATTACAGACACTGAGCCATGGCTGGAAACCTTTGCCAGGGTTTGGTGGACACAGCTTGCCCAGGCAGGCAGTTCCTATTCTTCATCTTCCCCCACAAGCAAGAGCAGGGGTACACTAACTCAGAGGACACTGAAAACTGCAGTTTCCTGATGGTAACAGAACCAAGTAGATGAAAATGTAGTATTTCTCTAAAACTGAAGATTCCTGCAGGATAAATGGAAGCCATCATTTATTCCTTTTAACTAGGTAGTACATAATCTAATTTGTCATAAGCACACCTAAATTTTGCTTACTCACTGCCTGATCATCCTTAAACCTAAGATGAATACTTCTTAAGTCAGATGCATATAATTCTGTAGGAAACTTCAACAGAGAATGGTGATTAATGTGCCATTAAAAATACTGAAGGTACACAAGAAAAGGTAAGGGAGCAAGATAAATAAGAGTGAGTCTTGCCTTAATTTAACTCTTCTCAAAAACTCTAACCAACAATACTGCACATTTTTCAGACTACAAACTCTTTGTTCTTGAAGAGTAATAATAGAGAATGGAGCTCCTCTGGGAAATGCAAAAGCCTTTGAAGCCTGAGAACACAAAAAAGTTCAATTTTTCTTTAGATTTATGCTATAGTTTATGTAATCTTACACTTTTTCTGCACTCTGGTATTTTCCTTTGATTACTTGGTCATTCACACACTTTAGTTAGTGATTTAATCTCTTTGTGCAATGAAGATTTAAATTCATGTGCATAGCAGCACCATCTTCCTAAAAATTAAAGCTGGAAGAAATTATGATTAAAATATTCTCATCACCATTTTCAGTTATGAGACAAGATAGATTTATTAAATGAAATATTTAATAAAACCAAATCACATCATTGACTATGTATTTGCTTTTTCTCCAGTAACAGTAGTGAAGTCTTGCACAATTCCAGCCTCTAGTGGCAAGTCATATTGTCCCACAGCCAGAGATAGTGACTTTTGCCATTTACTGAAATAGTCATCAACATGTTATCAGAGAACTTTGCATTTCCCATTGAGGTCTAAGTGCAAAACCATTTGATGCTGGCTCTGCACAATGCTTCCCATTCCCCTGTTGGCTGTTCCTACTGTGCTGCTTTGTGTCAGGTGCTCTGCACCTGAAGGTACCTAATGTATTTTACAGACAAATGAAAGAAAATAACTTTTTTCAAAGCAGTTCATGAACATTTTTTTTAATGCTACATAGATTTTTTAACATGTTGCATTTACAAAAACGAACTACAGCTACCACCTTTCATCCAAACTATGTTATTGATTTCCTGCCTGCAGGAGAAACACAGCAGTACCAGTTCTGTTTTTCTCCTACTTCCCTTCAGAGTGTTGTCTCTATATATGGTGCAGCAAACGACTGCAAAGCTCTAAAAGCACACTGAGCTCCATCTCAATCCAGCAAGGCCCTGCTTGTGAGAATGACATGTCATTTTACAACTGTAATTATGATTTAAGAAGGATTAAACAATGGAAAGTCATTTTTTTAAGTCAGATGACACAGGAAAATCCAATTTGAGCTGTGTCCTGTACAGTGTTTAAAAATAACACCAAAGAAAATATCCCAGAACTTTCGGTCACACGTGGCAATATATCCAACTAGGTATCCAATAGCTTCTCAAGATAAAGCATTTTCATCTGTCCTAAGTATCAAAGTGATATAAAAACCTCTGGTAAGCAGTTTGCAGAGGAAATTTTCATCAAATGAAGTGCTGATGGCATAAACTAATGTTGATGTCACAGCCAAAGTCTAACGTAGCTGTGAAGGGACATTCTGTACTGTTGTGGTCTGTGGAGGAGGCTGCACGCTGCTGCCAGGAGGCTCCAGCCATGCTCAGGGTTTGTCATCTTCTCTGTCCTGTAACCTCTTTTGTCTCCTCAAATCTGTGTCTGGTAGGTTGGTGACAGAGAGAAACCACTGAGAAAACAACAAACCCAACAGAAAAATCAGTGTTTGGATTCCTGGATTTATCTCAAGATCCTGTTGCTGGCCATATTTAGCCACACTGTACCTAGGTCATGATAAAGTCTTCTTTGCTTCTATTACTGTCAGCATTTCCATTGCTAGAATAGCTAGGAAAGGGGCTTGGGATTGGATTGTCAAGTTTTAGATCAAAGGTAAGCTGCTGTCAGATAGGAGCAGATCTTAAATGCCTTATTTTGAATCCTTGCTCATAAGAGCAAGGAGTAATGATATGGTGCAGGGAGTAGTGGAAAAGCTGCAGGTCATGCAGCTGGCAACATGTGGGAGGAGGGGTAGAATCAATATTTTGGACAGTGCATATTGCTTCATTTCTTAGGCATGGTGGATATTTTTTCCTACTGAAATAAAACCGTATACAAGTAATACAAAAATAGGAAGAGCTGTGTATATCCTATGCCAGAAAAAAAAAAAGGAGTAAAAACCAGCACATCCAATTCACTTTGTGCAAGGATCAGAATCGATTCTAAGACAATCACTGTTTAAAGTAATGTGTATAATTGATTTATCCCCTGTGTAATTTTAGCAAGATGCAATTGTACATAACACTAATGGCTTGCCATTCAAAATCGGATTTGTTGTATCTGGTTCTCAGCTTTTCAGCTGATTCTTTCTGATTGTACTTTCTGCATTCATAACTCTCAGAGCTTTTCAGAATTCGCAAAAAGCTGAAATGCTAAACCCATCCAAACCCATGTTCCCTACAGAACTTCAGTGTGCTAGCAGTGCTTTTGTGAATAACCAGCTCAAAAGCTTCTGATCAGTCTCAGATTTTAGACATGAATCCAGCACTGCAAAATTCGAAATTTATGACAAATTATATGGCAAAAGATTCAGGAGATCTCATCTGCTGTCACTGTGTGAATGTGCTGAGCATTTCACCTGCAGGCAATAAGCAGTGATGCCAAAAGAGCAGGCAGGGTGAAACAAGGCAGGAGAAAGGAAACAGCCCCTCTTTACTGAGGCACAGACAGGATGAACTAGAGTTTGAGAGAGTCTGAGACAGAGCCAGGAGTGGACCTCTGTTCTCCAGACCTCAAGGGGATTTACTGGAGGGATTTTCTTCCTCATTTGTGGAGAGCAGTTTGTAAAAGGTCAGAAATATCAACAGAAAACTACATGGAAGTCTACCTCTTTTAAACTATTAAAAAAAGTAATCAGTGATTATGCCAGTGAGGAGCTGCGGAAAATACAGTGCTGCAGAGAGAGAGGGGGCACTAAATTTGGGAGAAGACTAGTCCCAGCTACAGTGATTCCAGAAAAATGCTTGAGCCAACCAAGTCTATGAGAAAATACCTACAAGCCAAAAAGGACAGAATGTGAAGGGTAAAGACACAAACCAGCTCAACCAGAAGGATCAAGTAAAGACATATTGATAATTTTGCATTTTACTAGATGGACACAATGTGAGTCTTCTCATCCTGTGGGGATCCCTACTGAAATTCCAAGTGTTGGAATGTTAGTTGTTGGTTTTTTAGCAACAAAGTCTTAATTCCAAAACCTACTCTAAACTAGATTAAGAGCTGTGAATTCCATTTGTGTAACAGAAGAACCTTTCCTAAATAGTTAAATAAGCTTCATGAGCCATGTGATTTTGTAACAGGGCTTTATCCTGACCTTGCAGTGGTATAAATCAAATTATGTCCAGAACAACCAAACTTCATATGAACTAGAGAGGAATCAGTGTCACAGAAGGCATTTTTGTTAATTAAAACTGCAGTTTCAAACAACTTATCTCCCCTCAGTAAGATAAGGCACACGTAACAGGTGCCTATGAACAGTCCTTATGTGGCTGTCTTAAATATTAATTGCCTATATTTTCAGGAAGCTACTTCATATGGTTAAGATGGATGATAGTTCTGATGAGTGAATTCTACAGCTCCCAAATCCTCACCCTACCCCACCCCAGCAAGTCTTAACTATGACTAGAAGTTATAATAGTTCCAATAAAGGAACCCTAAATACCCATTTGATAACTTATTCACAGTTATATTCTGCTTGCATTCAATTTTTTTAACTAACTGGTTAGTATTATTATTTCCCATATTCAGTTTAAAATTCCCACTGGTTTCTCTGTTTCCCAGTTCCCAGTCATTGTCATGTCATTTCCCACTCCAATGGAAGAAGAAAATTACTCTGGCAGAGAGCACAAGGCTCTGAATGACCGGAGCAGCCCTCACGTGTTTGGCCAAATACGCAGCTCTAATGCAACTAACACTGTTTGCAGTTATCCAAGGAATTCTGCTGCTCTATATTTAGAACATAAAATCTTCCTTGAGTTTTTAAACAGCCCTTAGTCTCTGTCAGAAGACAGCTTCACTCTGCATAGTGTGAGCTAAAGCAATTCAGTCAAAGGCTTGAACAGCAGAGAAAAATTACAATGCACAAGCTTCCTCGGATTTCAGCAGCAAAATGATTAGGAAAGTAAAAATTCTAGGAAAGGAATTTTTGCATCTGAGCTATCCCATTTTCAAGCTGCTTTGATTCATTGGGTGCAAAGACTTGGAATCTGAAACTTCAGCCTTTGTTTCAGCTTTTAAGTTTTTTCAGTTAATATTTTTGTAAATTTTTTACTATATATTAAGCAAATACACTTTGAAGGCTTATATTTTCTGCTTAGTGTCAAATCCTGCCCTGTTTTTATGTGTGCTGGTACATACATTGCAGATGACTCCTCAGTTCCACTGTTTATTACTGGTGGTGAAAAAGGAAAGCAGAATTATCTGCTGATGAATGGGATATACTCTCAGAGATGGTTTTCAATTAATTGTTGTTTCAATAAAGTCTTGCCTCTTTTGTGCACAATAAATTTTTCCCACACTAATGTTTATACACATGAAACAAAGTTTCATACTTAGTGCAGCACCTGAGACAGTCACTAAATTAATCATGATGAGAGATTACAGACATTATCTTTAAAACTGAGGAAATCTCATGATGAGACTGGAGCTTCACTAAGAATTAAGATAGCAGGATCAAATATTCAATGCAGGAAATACCAAAGCCAGAGTTATCCGTTTCACTTTAAATTTCTGTCTTGGTACACTATCCATCTGATATATGTTACCAATTAAAACCATGAACAAACTCTCCAGAGTAGCAGAAACTTTACTTCTTGGTCTGATTCACATCTCAGGAGAAAAAAATGTAACACAATATTAATGTTCTAAACCTCTTTCTACATCTTGTGCTCCTTGTAATATTTGCAAAAAATAAAAGAGGCTCCTGAATATGTCAACTTTCATTGTACCTCTGTACTTCAAACTGCCAAGTTTTTAACAACCCTGAATATTAAGTATGATTAAACCTGCAGAAACACTTTGCTGAAATCGCCAAATAAATAGAGAAACTGTCACTTAACTTTTCCCTAGGAGATAAAATCTCTGGGGGAAAGCTGGAGGAGCAGCATGGCAGCATTATGGGGCTCAGTGAATGCAGGTGTCTGTATTCCTGAGCAGACCAGGCTGTGCTGCAGCTGGATCCATCCATGCTTTCAGTAAGGCAATGATACCAACTGCCCTCTTGGAAGTACCTGGCACTGGGATTAGGGATCTCTCCTGTGCGGGCAACTAACAGAGAAACTGCATCTTTAACTAAGGGAGAAACTTTTGAGTTTCTCAAGATTCCAAACTAGCACATGTTCACTTCCCCACAGAAACAAAATCTTAGAGTCACCTAAAACATGTGCATACAAGAACGAGACAGTTCAGGGTCAAAAGAAGGACAAACTGAAACTCCTGAGGTTTATCCTGCTCAATTAACTCCCTGATCCAGAAAGTTCAGACAGGCTTCTGGGAGTGACCAACTCTAGAAATGAAAGAGCCTTCAGGGAAATGAAGGAGAGAGGCTGTACTGCCACAGGAGTATCAACTCCCAGTGCCAAAACTTCAACTTACTTCTAAAATAAGTATCAGCAAAGCTTTTTAGCCTTTTCTTACTATGGACAGTATCGATTTGAAATTACTGTAGTTACACTCTACCCTGCCTGACTCAAGGATATGTTCAACAACTGAAAGGTGAACACAATTTCAGCGAATTACACACAAGATGTAACCTGTTCACTGTGCTAACATTATGTTAACTCCAGTGAGATGATATATCCTTCATTAAAAGGAAAAATGATCCATACCTATAGGGTGAATTACCTCTAAGGTTGTTTTTGCTACTCTCCTGATGATTGCTCTGCTATACAGATTAATGTTTAATGTGCAATTTGTCTTATCCATGTTACTTTGTACTGCTCATACATTGAGCTACTTGGATGAAACTTGCCCAGTGGTCTGCTCAGTCCACAGCATAAATAACAATAATTGATTCACAATCTCTCCCATTACACAGTCTGACTATTAATGATTAAGCCATTTATGGAGGCAGTTCCACAAGCTCCAGCTGAGCAAAGGAAACACCAAGAACGATACTCAACCTTTGCTTTTATGGTGGTATTCTTCATAACACCACTCAGGGACGGGTCCAGTATCTCTTATAGCCTCCATGACCCTGCTCTCACAGGACTCTTTCTGCAGGGTTGGAGTTATTTTGCTGCTTAACAACTGCAAATTTTTCCTCATGTTTATCAGATTTGGACTGAAGTGATTTCAGAAAGACAGAGCTTCTTATACTGTTTTGCCTTTGACAAAACAGAGGCCTCATGTAGAAATCTTTAATTGGAAAATGGAACTGTTGTTACAAGGCAAGCAGAGAACCAGGGATCAGTGACCTGAACTGTACAGCTGCAGCTGGAATTTGTTCTTGGAGGCCATAAAGAGACATGGAGAGCTCTGGAGGGTTTTGTGGAGTTACATCCCTAAGTCATTCTTAACAA